TTGTTCTCATATTAAAGAAATAAATGCTGAATTAAGCCTGAAGATGGAATGGAAGGATGTATACCAAGATAAAAAGAGTGAAGAATATCGCTCATTGGTTAATCGTATAGAAAATGAGGTCAGCAATAACTTAGGCTTGATCATAATACATGCTAGTTGGCATCTGTCAAATTAGTAGTCACAATGCCATAGATTTCTTTTCTTTCACTTTTTTGACTTTTTGTGTTTTTAAGATATTTGACGCATACCGAAAAGAAAATCGTGACAAAATGCTGAAAGAAGTCAGAGTAATCTCGTTGAGGTAATAAATACGAATTGTTCATTTTTTGTGTCGGTGATAGATTTTTTCTGTGTCGGTGATAGATTGTCTGTGTAGGTGATAATTTGTCTGTGCAAGTGAGTGGAAGAAAGGGAAAGAAGGTCAATGAAAGAGGGAAGATGAAGTGACTTTTTAATGAATGTGTGAATAGATAATGGACAAAAGGGCTTGTATGTGCATGGAGAAAACATGGAAATTGAAGCTGATGAAGACATTAGGATGAGTAGAGGATATAATTACAGGGAAAGGAATAAGAAGTGGGAGATAAGAATAATGACATGGGTGAATAAATGGATGGTAAGATAACCGTTAAGTGAAAGTAAGGAAGGAGTAAGGAAAACTATATAGGGGAGAGTAGAGGAGAAAGGATGAACAAAAGATGAGTGGGGTAGACGATATGTGGATAAGTGGTAAGAGAAAAGAGAAAAAGGAGGTAAAAAAACCGATAAATAATAGAGCGGAGGGTAGAGATAAAAAGAAAGAGGGGGGACGCGCGGGTATTGAGCTCAATGGATGACACGTGGTGATCTCGGGGAAGGAAGGAACGGAATAGCGAAAAGGGGAAGGAGGGAGGCCCGTTGCACTGTCTAACGTAAATCGTCAGGAGCTGAGACGGTAGACAGAGTAAAACTTCGTGTTTCAATGCAATAAAGACGTCTTGAAATTGCTCAGCCCTACACGATGCAAGGGCCTACAGCGAGATCGACACGTGTGGTGGTTAGGGTTAATGACTTAATTGGGAGGCGGGGGAGTTGTGGCTAAAGGGTGAGGGGACAAGGTACTTACTTGTAGGATTAAGGTTTAGCGTCCGGCAAAGACCGAATTGCTTAGCTAGGCGTATTGAGGATCCTTCCATAATCTAACAGAGTAAGAAAAGAGGGTATCCGAGGAAGAAATATGCTTGGAATGGGGAGTGTCGGAGAGTATGAGATAAGATAACCGCAGAGTTATGAGTGAGAGGGGTATCGGGTGTAATTGTGGTGAAAACATGGTTGGTGGGGGGCCTGTGGCAAAGACACGTGATAGGGGGTGTGTCAGTGGGCGTGTAAGAAGAGTGGGACTGGGTACTAGGTAGATGGAACAAAATGGCGGAATAGACGTGGGAAAGGTTGTAAGGCAGGAAAGACGCGTAGAGGAGCTGAGATCATGAAGACTATATAATTTAATTGCATGCAATAGAAACAAATCTTAGAGATTTTCCTTAGGTATTTTCCAGAGTTTCCTCACCAATAGGAAATACCAATCCATTTCATCACAAAATGATAAACCTTTNCATATGGAACTTATTGCCATACATCGGGTGACATTTGCTTGGATTATTGTCCAGGCTCACTCATGCATCCATGCATGCATGTATATATGCATGTAATTTATTTATTTACTTCATGAAATATAATACAATGGAGTTAATTAATATTTTGTCGTCGATCGACCTCATTAACATCACCATCTGACCATTAGATACTATAATAAATGTCAAAGTCACCTCGAGAAAGGAAAGTACATGTACATATAATATCACATTTACGTTCAATGACTGATATAAATTTTTCAATATTGACTTAACACAAAACTCTCAACCATAGAGTTGCATAGAGCACTGCGTAGTTTTGACTACATTTTCAACATATAATAAGAAAGCAATAATTTGAAAAATTCATGTTTGATTTTTGTTGCTTGTGCCTACAGAGGTAGTCTCCTTTGCATCCGTTCGTCGTCCGGACAGGAATGAAGACACATCAAATAAAGTACCAGATAAGCCTGCGTGCAGCACCCCAACTATCAAGCTACAGTTATCTCCAGATAGTACTAGTCCTGCTTCATCTACTGACAGCGGCGAATGCCAGGCACCTAAACTTTCCACTGCAGATGTTCTTGTATATTCTCAGCCATTACTAGACGAGCCAATAAATACAAAGTTAGTAGTCTCATTAAAAAGTGACAGTAAAGCAGCTTCAGATGATATTTTAAAAGAGTTATTGTCCCGAATCCCCTATCAAAGGGGTCATATCTTTGGTTTGGAAATCAGTCCTCGGAGGGCTAGACTTTTTTCAGACTTTTGATTTCAGATGTTTTGATGAGAAAACAGGAAAATCAACTTTCAATTTTGATTCATTTTGGAAGATGGTTTTGGCAGTAGGCCATGTACTACAAGATGAGAAGAATGAATAATTGAAATTTCTACACATGTACATGTATATAAACCTTTTTGTTGTTGTTGTTGTGTCTGCTTCTTGGGAAATATCAATTATTAAGAGTTTGTCTCAGAAAACCGGGAAACGCTCGTTCCTCGCTCGTTCGTTGTATGATACAAACAACTCGTGAATAAAATCCCGTACGTCGCACTTTCCATGAAATAAACTATATATATGCAACATGGTTCCTTCGCAAATGACCTGAATTGATACTTAACTGCCATAAAGAAAGGTTTTACTTGAAATAACCAATCTTACAATGCCATACATCGAAAAAGCAAGAAAAACTGAAACTTTGTCAGTTGTTGAAGACGCGCTACGAGTGGAATCAACATCATGTCATGCACGAAGGATGACATATATTGTTTCTCCTCACGAAATATTTTAAAGTTGCAGCTAGGATGTTGCATGACAAAGAAATTGAGTCGTCTCTAGCTTGAAAAACAAATTTAATTGCAGACGTTTCGATCGCAACTTTGCATTTCGCCACTGCACTGAAGAAGATCGCAGTTGTATTGTTTCTCCTATTACATTGTTTCATTAATTTAAGTGTCATTTATTAAAACAGACTTTTTTAGCTTATATTACATTTTTTGGCTAACTCAACGTTAACATAACGCTAACTCAATGCTAACTCAAACTCAACTCAACGTCTCGGCTCGATCGATGGATAGCTGATCCCAACACAATCTCCGTTTTAAAACAAGCCGCATAAATATGCATGCATAACATCATGAAATATCATGCTGATATAAGAATATTATACGTACATTGACAATGAATTATCAAAACAATCACAATTTCTTAGTTTGAAGTGATTCACTCTGAATGCTGACCGTTAAAATTGATATTTTGAGTTCTGAATTGTTGTAGTGTTTTCCGTGTAGGTGTCCGCGTGTCTATGTGCCAAATTGACACTGCAGCATCTCTTAAAACAATGCTGAGATTAATTGGTAAGAAACTTTTACAAGAACTTCCAGACCTTAAAAATCACATTTTGCGTGTGCCATTTCTTTTTCTTTTTTTACTAATCGCAGCTATCCTCCTCATATTGTTGAACAAGTCTCTCGCATTGATCGTAACATTGCTCCCCCTTATTTTCGTGCTTCTGATAGTCGTATTTCTCACTTATCATCCGTATGAACATCTCAATTAAGGAGGCACTTCTTTTTGTCATCCTTAGTGATCCCGTGTTTTGCAAGCGCAAACCAATTCCTCGCGTTCTTGGTATGACCTATTGTCGCTTGGCGATGACAATGTTTTTTGAAATGGCTATACATTAATATGACGTGATATGGGAAGAATTTGCTTTTATGACGTGATATGGGAAGAATTTGCTTTATTGTTTATTTGACAATAAACAAGGTCTTCAAGAACTATACTGGGAGTCAATGATACGGAATCTCTAAATTGCTCATTTTTTTCTTAACTATACGCAGCTTTCAGACCCTGTATCACAATTAATTATATCCATTTTGAAATTACAAGTGAATCCTGCAATCTGATTTGTTCTTAGCAGGTTGATTTCAGCCTAAATCGCACCATTTTGAACTCTTAATCACATTCCTTTGAGAAGCAAACATTGTATTTGTACGAATTAATAAAAGTTTATGCTTTACAATGTGTTAAATTTCAAAATGGATATAATTAAGTGGTAATTGAACTTCGTGTCGTGCAATTTTGGTTCGAAATCAAATTTGTGATTACAAATCGCACTCCCGCTACGCGGTCGTGCGATTTTGAATCACGCGTTTGATTTCGAACCATGCCAAATTGCATTCCACTCAGTTCAATTACCATTATAATAATCAGTATATGTACATATGTACATTTGACACTAAACGTTTACTTTTGATACGTTTTTGATTGATTCCACTTTATTGCTGACCAAGCAAAATTTCAAAACATCTTGAAATCGAATAGCGTAGTTACTAAAAGAAGGAATGACCTAAAATGATCTAAAATGACCTAAAATGATCTAAAATGACCTAAAATGATCTAAAATGACCTAAAATGAGCTACAATAAACAACATTTAGTGGAAGAAACAGTGATATTTTGTATTATCGTGGCACAACAAAACCACAGGTAGCCCAAGCACTACACTTGTCGGCTTTTCTCTGAAGGTCTTTTGGGGAAAAACGAAAAATTCAATAAAAGTAGGAAATCTTCATAAAATGAATTCAAACTCACACAATATATTTTTCTTAATCTATTACACATCTATGCGAAGTTTCAGCTCTCTGCAGTCAAAAAAACTGCTTGTTTTCTTGATGTTGGTCCCCTAGATAATGAATACTAGTATCTATTATCTAGGGGACCAACACCAAGAAAATCATAAAAAAGTACTTACCTCCAAGATGGCTTGTTAGTGACAATAGTGATAGTAATGACACTTTTTCCTCAAATTATTCAACCAATCAAATTTGGTTGCTATGTGAAGTTATTTTTCCTCAAATCATGATAAACCAATCATTGTTGCCGTGCAAAGTTACTTTTTCTCGAATCATGATAAGCCAATCAAATCATTGTTGCCGTACAAAGTTACTTTTCCTCAAAATATCTTGATCAACYAATCAAATTATTTTTGCTGTGCAAAGTTTTTTTCCCTCAAATTATTCAACCAATCAAATGATTGTTACCGTGCAGTGTAATTTTTTCCCTTAAAGTAATATGAACCAATCAAATATTTTTACCATGCAAAGTTATTTTCCCCTCAAATCATTTGACCAATCAAATTATTGTTAAGGTGCAAAATATTTTTTCTAATAAAATGTTGTAAAATCTGTATGTAGAAAATATCAATGCCATGCATCCCACTTTCGCATAGAAGAATAGTAGTTCTTTATTTTCTGGAACAACACCCTTTCCTAAATTTATATTTGAACAATTGTTATGCTTTACATCTTTTTTTTTTGTTTACTTTGTTTTGTTTATATAATTAATTGTTGGGAAATTTTGAGAGCTCCAAGTACAAACACAATAGTTTCAGCCAAGTTTATGAAAGCCAAAAAAAGCTAAACGAAATACAAAACAACTAGTCTCCTTCGCGTTTTGACACCGGAAACGAATGCAAACGAGACTAATAAACAACGAGCAGTTTGAAGTTTTTGGGCTTCCTGTTTATTTGTTAACACAGGGAGCCCAAAAAATTAAAATGTTCTAGCTATAAACGTAACTCTGGAATTTTTTTCATTTATCAAAGCAAAGCAAAGAATAATTTATTGAATAGACAACTAGATTTCTGTAATGCACCTGGTGCGATGCAGGCTATATTTGAGTTGGGTATTCAAAGTTATAAAAGCTTATTTAACAGACATTTTGAGACAGGTTTTGTTGTGTCCAAAAGTTCGATAATACAAAACTATCACCATTTAGTTTCCAATTCACTAGGTTTTCTTTGTTATTCATAGGGTTGTATATACCATAGAAACTTAAAGCCGGGGAGGGATTTGATATTCAGCAGGGAAATGTGGGGTTGATGAATTGAATTGAATAGCTCGTTATAAATTCAGTGGGCTATATATGAGTGACCGGAATCACTCACATATAGCCCGCTGAATTTATAACGAGTTATTCAATTCAAGTCATCAACCCCACATTTCCCTGCTGAACATCAAATAAACTATAAGTAAACTAAACTATTTTTCCCCTAAAAAAAGACCAGTGCGGCCAGCAAAACTTGAGGAGATTTAGAGTGTAATAAGTTTGAGTCCCGCAGCTTTTCTTCATATGTTCATCAAAGAATAGAGACAACAATAACCAAGATCTTCGCCGTTACTTTTAAAAGAATCTATTCTTCGGAATTAACCAACGTGTATGAATCAGAAGTAATCGGTGTGACTTGGTCCATTCTATCCAAGCACGTACACACGGCCATTTGGTACTTTAGTTTGTTTCTTCTTGAATCCTTCCCTCGTAGTTTTTCGAGCGAGTTCAACATCAAAAACTATTGTAATTTTTCTCATTTTTTCCCATCTGCAGACTTTGTCATCGTTATTTGCGGGAAGAAGCATGCGGAGTTCCAAATCCGATAGCAAATCGTCAATATCAAAGTTCGTCAAAGGAATGATATCAAACGTATTTTGAGCTATAAACAAATCGTCGTCACTGTTCGACATCGTTTCCAGAATGACTGCTAAGAATATTTGATAACAATATTCAAATTTCGATTGCTCGCTTTCGCATGAACAGGTTTTCTTAAAGGAAAATAATTTCAACAGTCCATGAAAAAGTCTCAAGAGAAGAGGATTCTATTGTTCGAAACCCAACTAAGAAAACATTCATTAAGTCTATTCAGTTTTTGCGAAAACCACGTTGAAAACTAAGTTTGTTAGTTACCTCGCACGTCGGCATTACGCTATATACAGCGTAATGCCTCCGTTCTCGGTAACTAACTCTTACTTCTTCCACTAAATGTTGTTTATTGTAGCTCATTGTAGCTCATTTTATATCATTTTAGGTCATTTTATATCATTTTAGGTCATTTTAGATCATTTTAGGTCATTTTAGATCATTTTAGGTCATTCCTTCTTTTAGTAACTACGAATCAAACGGTTGACTGAGTTTTTCGATCCTGTGATTGTCTGTTTTTCTAGTGTATTAAAAAAACAGCGATAGTGACATTTTCGCAAGCCAAGCTGAAGAAAATCAAATGCTCAATTTTTTGTGGAGATATAACAACAGCTCATATTTTAAAAAGTGAAATAAGCAACGCAACACTTCAAGTCATTGATTTCGCCAAAGCTTTGAACCATGTAATGTTTATGCTTCAATTGTAATTCTCTCTTCTGGGAACGAAAATTTTGCTTAAGAGGGGTTAAAAGTCAATCAACTTCCTTAATACTTCTTATTAGCATAATCACTGATATGAATCGTTATGATGTATATGTTGACTGTTCAACCACTGAAGTGTCATTTGTCCCGTGGTCCAAAGATGGCAAAKTTCAAAAGAGCTGTTTTTACAGCATTTATACTTTTCAGGACGATATATTGTCATGCAATAGACCCCTGYACTAACCACAAAGTTATAAACGATGTCTACCGCAGTACTAAGTATCAGTTGCAGCCAGGATTTGCAGCCATATGCGACGACAAACTTACGACTGGGTGGTATAGATTCAAGAGCATTGTTGGTGGAATGATGCCGGAAACAAAACCCTCACCTAACCATTGTGGGACTGTTGCACCTATCTGGATCAGGGATACTCACCCAACAACGAAAGACCAAGAAAAAGTAGTGACGGCTTGTATAAATATTCGAAATATGCTGGATGGGTGTTTCTTGCGAGAGTCGATTTCTGTCAAAAACTGTGGTGGTTTTTATGTCTACAATCTTAAGAGAATTCTTGGGTGCCCAGCAGCTTATTGTGCATGTTTGTTTTTAAAAAATATTAAATGACGGGTTTTTGTGGTTGTATATTAATTGGGAGAGGTCCTAGCTAGCTTAATCTAAGGGCGGTAGACTAAAAATTGACTTCACTGAAGTTCTTTGTTACGTAATATGATTATCGGCGATTTGTTGTTAGAACGAAAATTATTAACAATATAGAGATCCTTCCTTAAAGTCCATAAAGTGTTTAAAAACACCTTGAATTTTGACTGCGTAGGCGCGTAGCCGCTTATATATATATAGAAGCGCTTGCACCCGCGAACGGGTATGACACAGTTTATCTCTCCTTCGCCCTTTTACGGCCAGCATCCCTTCGCTTTGAGTATGTTTCATATTTTCTTTTATCGTATGACGTGCAAATGTTATTCGTGATAGCCCTCCATTCCTTTCTGTTATACACATAGTAGCACCACGCTTCAAGAACGCTTCCAATTTTAAGGTCTTTTTTCAAGATATCCTTGAATCTTAGTTTAGGACGACCAACTGGGCGAGATCCATGTTCTAGCTCTGAAAATAACAGCTGCTTAGGCACTCTATCATCGTCCATTCGGTAGAGGTGCCCAAGCTATCGAAGACGACTTCTAACTAATTTGGTCTCTTTTTTAGCCACTTCACAAACTAGCATACTTTGCTCCGCTTTAAAATACAGAGTGGCATGATCGATGCTGAAATTTTGACTGCGTAGTCGTGTAGCGAATGCACAAACATACTTCGTTCTTATCAAGGCACAGGGGCATCCGATGCTTGATTTTTGTGGCCGCGTAGCCATTATCTTTAATTTATTTCCGCGTTACAGGGTACCACTTCCCTTTCAATAGACTAGTTAATAAACGTTATTATGCTCTAATCGCATTGCCTTTTCTTTTGTGTTTCTGATTTGAAATTCACACTTTATAGTCAAATTTGTGCAATTTGTACTGTACTACTGCTAACAGATCTTCAACCTTATGCATTTTCCATTTTTTAAGAATATGATTACACTTATTATGCTAAGAAACTAGACGCTCATAGAGCGTTTGTCGGGCTAGCAGGCAGAACATAACAAAATTCAAAAAGGGAGTGGGAACGAGAGTTGACACATGTAAGAGCAACCATCATGAATCTAAATTGGTGAAATAGTTAAGTCGAAACATATTTTGATGAATAAATGAATGCTTTTTTAAGTGGAACTACTGAAATTAGAGAAAATCTGTTATGGCTATTTGGAATGGTGTCACTATGATCTCAAGCAATGTACATATACATTTTCTCTCGTTTTTATCACTTTTAGCATTCGTCATTCAGTCCAATCAGTATTGTCGAGCCCAAAGATGAGAACAAAAATATGCGCACGATTTTCTGGACGATTTTCTTTAATTAGCTGAGTAGCCTGAGTAGCAATTCTTTGCGGGAAAGAGAGAAAACTATATTTTGGGTTAACTGTGTTACCAATATGACAAAAAAATGGCTAGGGGAAGGGAAAGAAAGAATCTTTCTTCCTCGCCTCATGCTTCCCCTTCCGACTCTAGATACATTTATTGCATCACCAAACCCAAAACGATTTTCCCATTTAACACGACTCAAATGCCCTATCGAATAATAATGTCACACCAAAACACTCCATTGTTTTAATGCTAACTAGACGCATAGCTGCGTGAACTCGGGGTTCTGCTTGAATATATCATAAAACGATGAAGTGACAACAATGAGTGTTGTAGTCGAAGAATTGAGAAGAATTGGACTATATTGAACCTTAATAAAGTTAATAGTCATACTATCAAAAGGCGTAAAGCAAAAAATACTTCCTGGAATAAAAAATAATAAAAAA